TTGAGTAACGGCCATAAGCGCCGGCGCTTATATAATGAAAGATAAGAAATTGTATATTTATAGCACCAAATTGTTCATTTTCTTCTTGCCATTTCAACCGAGTCGAAATGTTATAGCGTCGCAAAGCAGAATCTCGCGCAAGCGATATTCTAGGTTCACACAATGGCGAAGACACGTCATGCCAGCACATCCTGACTGGACACGAAGCCAGTCAGGTCTTCGCGAGTCAAACGAAGCGAAATTGAAATCTGACTCGCTGCAAAAATGTATTTCGTTACCGTTTCAAGCAAGAAATTATATTAAATTTACACGTGCGCTTATAATATGTTAAGGTTTTCTAGGGGGGGCGCTTATAATCGAGGAACGGCCATAAGCGCCATGCTCAAGATAGAGGCGCCGGCGCCTTTAATCGAACGGCGCCTATATCCGGGGCCATACGGTACTTAACCCTAGAATTGTGTACCCCCTATAGGCTAACCCACTGTAGCCTAAACAAACACAACAACATATATAATGTTTGACACTCCGTAGAAGGACCCCGTGTCGAAAAATAGTAGTTGCACGAGGAAAAGTTAAGTTGAAACTAGGGCCTAGGCTTAGGAGCCAAGGCCCGAGATTAGGTGTCGAGCGGGTTTTGTCCTAGGGAAAAGATCGAGTGAGTTGGAAGAGAGTTGGGAAGGAATGTTGCTTCACTATAGTTTCGAAGTACATATAGCAAAGGAAACAAGTGAAGAGGTGCACCACCTACAGATTTAAATAACTACACTAACTACAGCTACAGGCAGTTACAAATATAGGTTTTGACACTCCCCCATAACTGCCTGCAGCAGGAGTATGTGCAGAATACAACCTGCAGGTGTACACATGCAAAACAAGAAAAAGCAAGCAACAGCAGGTAATGCAGGCGGGCTGACACTAGGTGGTCACCCCCTCCATCTCCTCATCCTCCTCCTTCCCCTCCCCCACACTGCTGCAGGAGCAGCAGAGAAGGGGGGAAGAGAGGAGAGATGGAGGGACGGCTGCGTGTTGCCTCACACCCGCCACCCCGGTACCACTCCCCCTGCTCCCCCACACCCTCACACCCTCCCCCCCAGCCGCAGCTGCAGCGGTGGGACTGAAAGGAGGAGGAGGGGAAGGGAAAGAGTCGACCCAACACTCCAACACCCGCCACCCCCATACCCTCCTCCCCACGGCTGCAGGGAGACAAAGGAGGTGGGGGTGGGCGGGAAGAAAGCCGCAGAGCGGCTAAACGGTGTCGGTGCTGATAGGTCAAGGGCGGCTTCAGGGAGAGTAGGGGCGGAAAGGCCCGTCGCGTGCCACGGGGCGCACGACGGGTAAGTTCAAGTGAAAAGGGCCCGATCGTGTGCCTCAGGGCGCACGACGAGCAGGGCACCGTTGCGTGCCACGGGGCGCACGACGCGCAGGTTAAGGGCACCGTCGCGTGCGACGGGGCGCGCGACGGGCAGAGAAGGCGTCACACGCCAACCGGGGGCGGGACAAGGAAAAATCGCCACGCGCCCTAGGCGCGCGACCGGAAAATCGTAGCAGCGGAAACGTGAGGCGGGCGCACATGCCAGAACGAACGTCGCTCTGATACCATGTCGAAAAATAGTAGTTGCACGAGGAAAAGCTAAGTTGAAACTAGGGCCTAGGCTTAGGAGCCTAGGCCCGAGATTAGGTGTCGAGCAGGTTTTGTCCTAGGGAGAAGATCGAGTGAGTTGGAAGAGAGTTGGGAAGGAATGTTGCTTCACTATAGTTTCGAAGTACATATAGCAAAGGAGACAAGTGAAGAGGTGCACCACCTACAGATTTAAATAACTACACTAACTACAGCTACAGGCACTTACAAATATAGGTTTTGACACCCCGGTCTCCGACGGCGCAAAATGTCAATTTTCTTAGCGAGCGCGAGAATCTCGTTGAAGTTCGAGAGCCCGCGTAGCATAATTTCATGGAAGATGTCCGGCTTCAGCCTCCGACGTAACGGTCCACCCGCTCCGCTTCGTGCATGTAGCCAACTTGCTCGCATAATGTGAGAAAACCACTCGTATAGTCTTGAACCGATCCGAGCTGCCGCCAAGTAGGTATTCTCTGACGCGCCGAAATAGATGCTGCGATTGGCTCGAAGCGCGCCCGAAGCCCTGCCCACCACGCATCCCACGGGCTGTACTGGGCGGTCTTGCAGAACGAACTCCAGGTGACAACTGGACCCGTGGGCCCTTCCTCTTGCGACGGTGGCTCGTAGGCGCGTGGCGACGTCACGATGACTCGCCATCAGTCCATGGCGGGGCCCCTCGGCAGCGAAACGGCATACCAAATCTTCGCTGCGTCCGACTCGACGTAATCCGCGTCGAAGAAGACGTTTATCGTGAAGACCCACGATTGAACCGTCGGACCTCCGCGTTGGCTTGGGTCGAAGCAGGGCGGGCGTTGCGGCTTGAGTGGCATTGGTGCCACGATGATCTGTTCGCCACTTGTCGCCGCAAACTCCACGTGCCGACGGGCTTTATGAGGCTCCCGCGGGCTTGGTGCGACCCTGTTCCCTCCCATTGTCAGAACATTATATAGCTTATGCTGTTGTGTAGGCTATAGTGGGGTATCCCATAGGGGGTACAACCCAATTAGGGTTTGCTATTTGTACTCACTTCACTTTTAGTTCATTCATTCTCGTTCAGTTCTTCTCATGGTATCGAGCAGGTTCCCCTGATGGAACTGCGCCTAGGGCCCACCACTCGAAAGTTTTTTTTCCTGCCCGAAGCGCACTCATCCCGAGTCGCGCCTCGGGCCACTCTTTCCCCGAGCCGCCCTAGCGGCCGGCCTTACCAGCGCGGCCCCGCCTCCCTGCTCTAGCGGCCCTCGCTGCCCTTACTCACGCGGCTCCGCCGCCCCTGATCTCGCGGCCCCGCCGCCCTGCTCTCGCGGCCCTCGCCGCCCTTACTCACGCGACGCCGCTGCCCCTACACGCCGCCCCGTCGCCCCTGCTCTCGCGGCCCCGCCGCCCCTGCTTTCGCGGCCCTCGCCGCCCCTGATCCAGCGGCCCCGCCGACCCTGATCTCGCGGCCCTCGCCGCCCATATGAGATCGCGCTACTGGAAATGGAATATATGTTTAAACTCACCAGTGGTACAAAAGGTACACACACCAATATATTAGTGCTTATTCATATGCTGTAGTTTCATTAAACCCTGCATTCATCTAATGAACTTGTTTGCTAAACCTGTGCAGGGGCGGCGGACGACATAATCGATGCCTTTCTGCACAATAACTGATGAGACGTATGGTGAACAATGATATTGCGTGCTCAGTACACATCAAATCTACGTAATATCATTGTAGGCATGCGTAGAGGTCGACATGTCTACAGATACAATAAACCCTATGATTGCTAAATGAACGGACCGCACAGTGTTATAAAGATACAATGGCAAAACACCGGTAGTGAACGTCTCTCGATTCTATTAATATAGTTGTTTATTAATAAAACAGATCGCACATACATTCGTGCACCACATATGCGCGCTCATATAGGTAAATGCGCGGTTTTATATGAGCGCGATCTTACATGACCGCGCCTGATTGGACGCGCAAGGTAAAAAAGTACTTTGCGCATAAAGTCGACCAATCACACGCGCTCTGTAATTGGTCGCGCGTCTGGACAGTCGTGCAACTGAGTATATGATCGGGGATTCATATCTCTATGCGCGGATTGGTCAAGAATTGGACCGAAAATGAGCGCGATTGTTCGCCCAACATGATCGTATTGATTATTGTCGTGTAATAGAACGATGACGTGGCCGCCCTCGCGCACGTCACCCAGCCGAAAAAATCGGGCGGAAAAACACACGCCACGTTTTTTCGGGAAGAGACACGAAGGACGTAAGAAAAGCAGGGCTAAAAACCGGTTTTGGGTAATGTGCCGGATAAAAAAAAAGCCAGAGGAAACCTCTGGCAAGACCACTCGAGCAATTATCATCAAATTGTCCGACCACGCTAGCAAATTGAGCCTACGTGTGCAACGGCAAATCACCGTTTCCGGGTCTGGAGAAAATCTCTCGAAATGTTCGCTAGTTTCATTGCTCTCCGGTTTCAGGTGGTCTGTCGTTTGGCCAAGGCCGAAGACTTACACCTGGTTTCCTTGCTGCTTGATCCCATGTTGCATTGTTACAATTTCCCTCCTTTTCTTGTGCGTTTCCCTTCGAATTCGCTGAAGACAACTGTAGGATTGGGTGAATTTTCCGGTGTAGTGATTATCGAGGCCCGTGCAGGAGAACAGCCATATGCGATGTGCCAGAATTCCCTGCTGCCTTTCTTCAAATATGGCGATTGAAAGACGGGCTGGATGGAGCCAGCACTTCTAGGAGAAGAAATCCCAACCCCCACCAGCTGTCCCTCTGGCAGTCGGTCATGACTGGGTTTCGGGTTCGTCGACCAATATTGCTAACTGGGTGTCGTCAGTGGCACACAATAGCCTCGAGTTTTTCTCATGCCATTTAGGACACGAACACTAAGAGACATCCTTAATGACCCAAAAAGATGAATCCTCTATATTTAAATTACTCTGTCATGTCTACGGGCAGAATTAAAAAAGCTTGGTAGCACTGAATGAATGTTACGCTCTGATTTTTTGTTCCTGACAAATTCCTCGTCCTCCCCTCGCGGCCACTGCAACGCCAATCTTGCCAAACCGGTCCGTTCTCCAATGCAATGTGAAAGGGGTTTCACCAGCTGCCACCGTCTCAATCAACTCAACGACGACGTGCTGTTGTTGTCCGATTCCCCTCCTGCCCAACCACTAGAGACAGACAGACAGCGCCTCTCCTCAACCTCCCTCCCAGGCTCCCAGCTAGCCTTGTTACTCTGGCAGCAAGAGAGGGCTCACCACCTGTTGCTCTGTTGCGGATGAGGGAGTTCAAAGTCCATTTCCGCAGCGTCTTTTCCTGGATTATCCTCCGCAGCATCTTTTCCTGGATCATTTTCTCCTTTCTTCTTTTCTCATTTTGCATGACAATGACAGCGATGTTGTCTCTCCCTCCTTCACCCAAGGGCATTCACTTAGCGTCGCCCGACAGCAAGTTTGTGCTGCTTTTCGCCAGCGTTCTTGTCACGCTCTTCTTCCTCCGCGCCATGGATCGCGGCACCGTCTCGCAAGAATCGTGCGACATGGTGCAGCCCAGCAGCATGGGCCCCGATGTCAATGCCTCCAATCCTTTGCCACCGCATCTACGGCCAGGATGCATTCTGTACTCTGATAACCGCGCCATTTCCGCGCATGCCGAAGCTACACGTGGACTCACCCCCGCCGCTGCGGCGGCCGTGGCGGGCTGGGGCGCGGCGCCTCCGATACTATCACTAGAGGATCTCGCGCAGCTGCCGTATTACGAATCGTCGCGACTTATAAACAAGTAAATACGCTATACATCATCGTAGTATAGTACTATTAGGAGCCTGGATCTTGAAAACAATCAGAAGTAGAGCCCGAAACGATTCTTGGCGCGTATTGTACGTGCTGGCAAGGTCTGTCGTGCGGTGCGTGCGAGCGTAATACGTGCGAGAGCGCACTGCATGACGATCACGCGACCACCGCCGTCCCCTCTGCCAGACGGTCATGATCATCGCAACCCGCGCAGTTTCGGGGTGTTCAAGTTGATTCGTCGACTACCAATTCCAACCACTCCCGAATCATGCATTTTCCCCTTTCTGAACGCAGGTTGTACGCGGAGCGGCACGGTTACCTCTTCTTCGAGTCGTATGAGGGCGTCAACGCGTCACGCAGGTTCAGGTGGCACAAGGTGCGTCCCGCCGCGCAACGTCCTTCCTCCGCGCCGAGCGTCGGTGTTCGGACTGTCGCACTTACCCCCTCCTCGCGCTGCAGCTTGGCCTGTGACCGTCCGCACGCGCCGCGCTGACCCGTGGCCATCGGCGACCGATGTTCATCGCCGCGGTTCAAATGACCCCCTGCTATTCGTCTTTTAGCGGCTACCTGCCATCGCGGAAAAGGGCAGGGCGAAAAACAACTGGAAAGTTACTGTTCCGTAACTTTTCCGTGGCATTTCGCGCGCAAGAAAAAAGTCTGACTCGAAAACAGTGGTAGCTCACGTGACTTGCGAAGTGACTTTCTCGAATCTTCTTTCTCTCGCACTCGCTTCTCCCTAACTTGAACCTGTTTCGGTCATTTGTCCTCCTATGGCCGCGCGCAGGTGACGCTGCTGCGGCACGCGCTGCAGTGCTGCTGTCGGTGGGCGCTATACGTGGACTCGGACGCGTACATGCGCATGGACATGCACCGCCTCTCCGTCGAGGACTGGGCCGCGCGCGCCAGCAAACGGGTGAGCGAGCTGCGCTAATACAACGCGACGATGGCCGTTATAGTACCGCGCCGCGCGAGCGGCGAGGGTTGCGAGCGGAATGAGGAATGCCGCAGCACGCACTCTCGTCCGTTGAGTCGATTTTGTTTTACACGCTAGCTCCGAGCTGACCGACCCCCCCCCTCCTTCCCCGCCCCTCCCCCGACTTGGGGCCGGGCCATGACTCTGTCTTTCCAAACAGCAGCATCTCTGAAAAGTCGCGCTTCTCCTGCATTCTCGTCTGTGTGTCGTGGGTGGCAGGGTTACTTCGACTACCTGCTGGGCAAGTCGGACTCGCGGCTGCAGGCGCAAGTGGTGCACGCGGAGCGCATTCTCGAAGTTCTCACACCGCACGATGGGGAGGGGGAGCAGGGTGAGGATGACGAGAAGGAGGAGGAACTGCAGGAGTGGCAAGAGAAGCGTGCTCCCGAGAAGTGGGAGGAGAAGCGGCAGGGCGAGCAGCAGCAGGAACTCGAGCAGAAAAAGCTGCAGGAGGAACAGCATAACCAGCAGCAGCAGGAGTGGCAGCAGCAGAAGGAACCTCTGCCAGAGAAGTGGGAGGAGAAGCAACAGCAAGAGGAGAAGCAACAGCAAGAGGAGAAGCAACAGCAAGAGGAGAAGCAACAGCAAGAGGAGAAGCAACAGCAAGACGAGAAGCAACAGCAAGACGAGAAGCAACAAAAACTGGAGCAGCAGAAGGCGCAGGAGCAAAAGAAACTGGAGCAGAAGAAGGCGAAGGAGCAAAAAATACTGGAGCTGAAGAAGGCGAAGGAACTAAAAAAACTGGAGCAGCAGAAGGCGAAGGAGAAAAAAAAACTGGAGCAGCAGAAGGCGCAGGAGCAAAAAAAACAGGAGCAGCAGAAGGCGCAGGAGCTAAAAAAGCTGGAGCAGCAGAAGGCGCAGGGGCAACAGGATAAGCAGAAACAGCAGGAGTGGCAGCAGCAGGCGCAGCAGCAGGCAGCCGCATCAGCGGATCCCAGCCCAGTTCAACCCCCCGTGGCACGGAAAATCCTTGAAACTCCTAAACCAGCACTCTCTTCTGTACCTACGGCGGCCGCATCATCACCGTCCGCAGTCCCCTCCACATCGCCCACGCCTTCCGACCCTTCACTCTATTCTCTCAAACTGCCTTCTCTCCCCTCTTCCTCGAAGCACCCGTTTGCTATCTTTGTACGCAATGGCGACGGGTCGATGGGGTACAACGGCGAGCCGGAAAACCTCTACGACCCGGAGCACGACTGGGCCAACTCGGGGGTCATGCTCTTCGGCCACTCGCCTGATTCTTTCAAGGTCAGCTGCCTTGTGTGCATGCTTTCAGGGACTGAAATGCTGTGGGGTTCTATTGGGAGAGGGTTGGTGGGGGAGGGATGTGGTGGCGTTTGATGAGGCGGGACAAGTGCAGTGTTGCCTCCTCTTTCGTTCATGTTCGCAGGCAAGAGATTCAAAGACAGCGCAGATTATACATCTTCTAACCCTCCCCCCTCCCTGTTTTTTTTTGCTATGGTTCTTATGGCGTCCTCCCCGCTGCCAGTTCTTGGACCAGTGGTACGAGGCGATGCTGCCTAATTACGGCGACCAGCGGCCAATGAACCTGGTGGCACTCAAGTGGAAGAAGAAGATTGTGGTGCTGCCTACGTGTGCAACGGCAAATCACCGTTTCCGGGTCTGGAGAAAATCTCTCGAACATTTCCAAGAGTGGATTGCCTCATGCCAAGGTCGGCCTATTGAGCACCTGAATTGGAAGGCAATTTCGTCTTGGAAACGAAAGGTCAGCTAAACTGTACAGTTCAGAAGACCCACCCACCTCACTCAAACTGCATTCACCACAGGGCGTGGGTGGGACATCTCAGTCAAAACGCTGTTCAAGAACCAGGGTGCAACTTCTCGGGGGGACAAAAACAGTAGGGGGACAAAAATGGCATGTGAGTAAAATCGGACTTACAGGTAATGCTCACCTCTTGCGCGCGAAAATGCCTTGCACCTTTTAGATGCCCTGCCCGCGATGTCGAGGTTCCCTAGAGGTTGCACCCCGTCTACAAGCACCCCAAACAACTTGCAGGTGGGTTGGTGAACACCAAAACAGTCAACCAGGAGCATAAGACAGACCCAGTCTACCGAGGTCTGCCTTGTTTCTTGGCCAAAAACAAGCATCGCAAAATGACAGGCTGAAACTCCGTTGACGTCGCGCGTCACTTCGCAGATGACTGGCTGCCACGTAGGGAGGTTCATGGTGCGCCAAACACATTTTAGGAAAGGTGCAACAGTCTGACGTGTACCTTGCCCAAGCTCGGTACAAACACATTGACAACCAAGCGTTGTTCAAAACTCACACGTCACACATAATGGTTGTGGTAACACCAATTCCCCACGCCACATTTCAAAGCCACGTACATGTGTGCTTCCTGATGTGCTGCTGACCAATTGCCATTGCGAATGCACCTTCAAGCTCCAGTAAGGCGCACAATAAATCCCTTCAAAAAGGCAGCCAATTTCACTCGACATTCACTCTCTCCTACCCACAGTAGCTTACCATGCCTCGTCCCTACCACCGCAGCCAGTTAGCTCTGCATACCGTATCAAACGCGCGATTTGCGCCCACCATGTCGCCAACCCCCAGCTACGCCACGTCGACCTCAGCCACTGGTGTTTCACCCGCTTCGGCATGAGGCCTGATCGCAGCACCATTGGCCGAGTGCTGAAGGAGTCCGAGCGATGGGCATCCACGGCCTCCGACAACAATGCTGTGCGAGTGCGCGGCGGAGCCCATCCTGAACTCGAGCGAGCGATGGCGCGCTGGATCGCCAATGCTGACCCGGCTGGCGTTCCGCTTACCCTTGCGACAATTCGAGAGCATGTTGCGACCTTCGCGCGCAGCATATCCCTGCCGCCGACGTTCCGGTGCTCCATCGATTGGGTCCGCCGTGCCTTGCGCCGCCAGTGTCAGATGATTATATTACTGATACATATATCTAGGCTGTAGTGGGGTAGCCCACAGGGGGTACAACCCAATTAGGGTTGGTACTTGTACTTGTTTCATTTCATAGTGCACTCATTCCTCGCCTCTATCTCAACATGGTATCGAGCAGGTTCCCTAGTGGGAACTGTTCCTAGGGCCCACCTACTATTCCGTCCTGCCCGGAGCGCGCTCTGCCCTAGCCCGAGTCGCGCTGGGCCCTTTTTCCTTTGGCGGCCCGATCGCGTCGAGCCGCCCGCGAATTTTTGACGCGCCACCTACGCGGCCTCGTCGCGCCGCCCCTAGACGGCCGCGCCGCGTCGCGCGTGCCGCCCTCCAGTCGCGCGCCGCCCCCCTCTGACCCTCGCGACACCGGCGCCGTCTCTGACGGCCCCGCGATCGCCTGTGTCGGCCCCCCCGTCCCCTCTACCGGCCCCTCCGCTGCGCTTGACGGCCCCGCCGTCCCCTCTGCCGGCCCCGCAGCTGCGCTTGACGGCCCCGCCGTCCCCTCTGCTGGCCCCGCCGCTGCACCCGACGGCCCCGCTGTCCCCTCTGCCGGCCCCGCCGCTGCTTCAGACGGCCCCGCCGCTGCACCTGACGGCCCCGCCGTCCCCTCCGACGGCCCCGCCACTGCACCTAACGGCCCCGCCGTCCCCTCTGACGGCCCCACCACTGCACCTACCGGCCCCGCCGCTACCCCTGACGGCCCCGCTGCTGCATCTGCAGGCCCCGCCGTCTCACCTGCCGGCCCCGCTGCTGTACCTGACGGCCCCGCCGCTTCACCTACCGGCCCCGCCACTACCCCTAATAGCCCCGCAGCTGCATCTCCCGGCCCCGCCGCCCCAGCAGCTGCGCCGCCCCAGCAGCCGAGCCGCCCCAGCAGCCGAGCCGCCCCAGCAGCCGAGCCGCCCCAGCAGCCGAGCCGCCCCAGCAGCTGAGCCGCCCGAGCCGCCCGAGCCGCCGAGCCGCCCGAGCCGCCCAGCAGCCGACCCGCCGAGCCGCCCGAGCCGCCCGAGCCGCCCGAGCCGCTCGAGCCGCCTGCACTGCCCTGTCTAGTGAGCACTGAGCTTTACTCTGCGCACTGCCCTCACCCTACTGCTGTCATGGCTACCCCCAGTGTCCTCACCTTCGACGCTGAGGGCAGAGCCATTGACTTTGACGTGTGGGTAGACGACCTGCTGCTTTTCCTACAGTGCGACAGAGCTGACGGCCTCTCTCTCTTTGATCTCACTTCTGGTGCCTCTCCCGCCCCTGCTGCTACTGAGGATGCCACTGTTCGCTCAGTGTGGGCCACACGCGATGCTGCTGCACGTCTTGCTGTGCGTCGCCACCTCCCTCCCTCTGAGCGTGCACACTTTGGGTCGTACAAGAATGCTCACACCTTGTACGACTCCGTTATTGCACGCTACTCCACCCCTGCCACTGCTGCACCGAGCCGCCTCATGCTACCGTACCTCTTTCCCGACCTTGCTTCTTTTGCCACAGTCGCCGACCTCATTACCCACCTGCGCACTAGTGACGCTCGTTTCCGCGCTGCGCTTCCTGCTGAGTTCTGCGCCAAGAACCCCCCCCCCAAGTACTTCACTCTCTACTACATTGTCACCCGCCTCTCTGACTCCCTCCGCGGAGTCAGGGACGACTTACTCTCAGTCTGCCCCACCACTCTCACTGTTAACATCCTCGAGAAGTCCCTCCTAGCAGCCGAGAAGAGCATTCTCGCTGTAGGGGCCTCTCGTGGTGACCCGCGCACCCCCATCTTTGAGGGGTGTTCCCCCTCCCCCCTCCTGCCCTCTGTCGCCTCTGCTGCTACGGCCGACCTAGTTGGTTTTGAGTCGGTCGGTGCGGCGTCTGCCCCCAGTGGGAGACGTCGCTCTGGCAAGGGCAAAGGGGGCAGGAGCGGTGGTGGAGGTGGCGGGGGCGGTGGGAGCGGCGGTGGAGGCAGCGGAGGAGGTGGGGGTGGTAGCGGGAGTGGTGTCGGGAGTGGAGGTGTGAGCGGCGGCAGTGGAGGCGGGGGTGGCAGCGGCGGTGGTGGTGGGAGTGGAGGCGGAGGCGGCGGTGGCGGCAGCGACGGTGGGAGTGGCGGTGGCAGCGGAGGTGGTGGCGGCGGCGGCGGAGGAGGCGGCGGAGGAGGTCGTGGCTCGTCGCAGAGGAGTGGCTCCGGTGGCGGTCAGCGCCAACAGCAGCAGCAGCAGCGTGGTCAGGAGACCCTCTCCCCGCAGCAGCTCCGTGAGTGGTACGCTGCACGTCAGAGGGGTGGGGGTACTGGTCCGTGCACCTACGTCTTGCGCATGGGCGACCGTGCGGGTGAGCCGTGTGGTGGTCCACACCCCGCCCAGCGCTGCTTCGGCCGCCTGACTGACGCTTGGCGCCGCCAGTTCCCTGACGCCTCTGAGATCCCTCGCTGGGACCAGCTGTCTAGGGCAGGAGTAGCTATCTTTGATCTTGACTTTGATGCTATTCTTGCTGCCATGTATGCTGTGACTATTAGTGAGGAGGGTGACTGTTACCGGTGTTTCCCACCCGACCCGGGCATTGGTACTGCGGCTCTAGGTGCTGTTGAGGCTGCTGCTCCTGGTGCTGGTGAGGCTGTCGCTCTAGGTGCCAGTGAGTCTGAGTCCTCAGGTGCTGGTGAGTCTGCTCTCTCAGGTACTGCGTCGGCTCCGCCCTCTCTCACCTTCACTCTTGACCCAGGGGCGTCTCGCTCCTTCTTTCGAGACCGCACCACACTCACGCCGCTTAGTCGGCCAGTGGCGGTCTCCCTAGCGGACCCCTCTGGGGGTCCTGTTCTGGCTCGCTACTCCACTGTCCTGCCGTGCCCTGCGGTCCCGTCTGGCGCCCTGTCCGGTCTCTACCTCCCCTCGTTCTCTACGAACTTGGTGGCGGGTGCTGACCTACAGGATGCAGGGGTCGACCAGTTCACCCCTGCACGCTGACGGGACACCCACTGCACGGACGCGGACACGGGTCGACACTTGACCACGTTCACACGTGGGACGGGGTCGAGCCTGTACACACTCACTGTTCCGTCTCCTCCTTTTGCGTCTGGTCAGGTAGCTGCGTCGGGTCAGGTGTTTGCTGCAGCGTCCAGGTCTGGTCCTGAGTCTGCCCCCTGCTCGTGTCGCCTCCTCTCCCACGAGACCCTCCTGTGGCACCACAGGATGGGTCACCCCTCCCTGCCTCGTCTCCGGGGCATGGCCTCTCGCCTTCTTGTCTCTGGCCTTCCCGGGTCCCTCCCCCCCCTTCCTCCTGGGCCTGGCCCTCCCTGTGTCCCCTGTGTCGAGGGTCGCCTGCGGGCTACCCCTCACTCCTCCCCGTTTCCTCCGACGGAGGCCCCGATGCAGACGCTTCACATGGACGTGTGGGGCCCAGCCCGCGTCCGTGGACAGGGTCACGAGCGCTACTTCCTGCTGGTGGTTGACGACTACTCGCG